GTGGAAATAAATAAGTGATAGACTATATGACCAAATGGCAAGAAACATGTGTTGTTCTGAACCAGGAAGCTGAAATTCTAGCAAGGAAACTCAGTGAAGGAGTTCTTTTCCAGATTTGTGGTGTCTATGGAACTTCAATCAGATCAGGAATGGAACTTTGAATCAGCCTTGTTCACAGAAATGTCAGATCCTTGGAATAAAAAAGACCAGGACAACTGCCCTTTATGCATCTTCTGACAGCTAGGTGAAGAAATACAACCATACACTCTTAACTCAATTAGCTGTTTATGTGAATGAACATCAGAAAACGTTGGATCAAGATCTTCCACTGATACTGATGAGTTATTGAATGGCAGTACATCAAGCTACAGACATCAACACTGATGTTTGGGAGAGAAGTTAAAGTACCAATGAACCTTTCGTACTCCCATCTGGAGGATAATCACTCAGCAGTCTTACACGAAATATGCAGAGAGTAAGGAATATCATACGTGAGTTTACCAAGAACAAGATTTAAATTAACTAATAATAAAATTAAATGTCACTATAATATTATTGGTGATAAGACTGAATTCCATTATGGTGACATGATATGGCTATACAATCCCTGTTGCAAGAGAGAGCAAACTCCGAAGTTAAGCAGGTGTTGGGAAGGGCCATATGTTGCACTGAAAAGAATCAATGATGTTGTTTACAGAATTCAGAAGAACAGGTGGTCCAAGCCAAAGGTCACCCACCAAATAAATATATAACATAGCTCACATAAATTTGTTACCACTGTGATAGGTTCAGTTGGGTACTACAGTTTCAAGTATTATCAACCTAGCTAGGTGAATGACATAAAATATGTGTATGGGTTTTTACTTATACACCAATATGAAACAATTCTTGAGGCTGTTTTCAAAATTACAGTGAATTCTGATATCTTAGTTGTAAGAAAATACAGTTTTATGTTAGATAAGAAAACTCATAGTATTACTAAGTGAAGACAACAATGTTGACCAGTTGGGGTGTAACATTCATGGCTTAAAATTGAAAAACAAAAAGTTGCAACCACTCATATGTATGGGACAAAGAATACATTTTAAAAAGTGTGATATGCTGGCATATCACGGGTTTCCCACCTTCCAAAGGAATATTGAATTATTCCAAATTATTGATTATTTGGTTTCCACATTGTTATGGCAGTAATATGTGATCCAGAGTTGCTAGCATTATTTTATTATAGTTGCTTCACCCTTTGTTCTCTAGTAGGTGACGTCTCTTTCTGCTCACGTCTATGTTTCAGTGTTGTATATAGAACATGGGTTGAACGAGTTCAAACTGGAATATATCTTGCTGGTTGATTATGATGATGAATGAAATTGACAGCCGACAAGTGCTATCTGGGAATATAGGTCACAAGGTGATGTCCTACACTGGACAAAAAAAATCAAGTTTACATTTTGGACTTGAGCACACTTTCTTAGTTTAATTCCACTTTGTTTTCATCGTGACTAATTTGGCAGAGATTCGCCTTGTGAAATGGAAAGCTGATATGCTATTCATTGATCCAGTCAAGGCAATCCTCTACTTGTCTATGCAGGTGTGCATACTGTCCTTTAAATGTGCCCAATCTGTTTATTTATCATGCAACTTAAAATTCAGTCAAGTTATCAACTACAGAACGCTCTCCTTGTTTCTCGATCAAATCTGCTGTTATTTTAATAAGTAGAGGATTCTACATATAAGGTGGTATTAAGCATCTAACTCCATTAAAAGATAATCAAAATGAAAGTTTTTGAATATACATGGTGAAACACTTTAGACTGCACAGTAGGCAATGTATTTTCGGAAATGTTTAAGAAGCAAAAAAAAAATAAAAAATAAAATAATAATAATGAAAAAGAAAACAACAACTAATCAAACTGTCTAACCAATTAACTTTCTCTACACATCAGAATTTCTGTGAAACTTCACCTATATAGACATTTGCAGAAATCAAATTCTATCTACATTGTCTGGGTGCAAAGATTTAATGAGTTTGTATGATGGATTTGGTTGCCTGGAGCAGAAAAGAAATAATCTACACAGTTTCATGATATAAAAGACTGTTTGGTTTAGATATTATTGATTAATTTATTTTTGTGAGTGAACATTTTATTATTGTTTAGTTTTTGTTATAAGAGTTAAAAGCAAACGATTGTAGGAAGTTTTGTTAATAATTCATTGATGTTGAGCATATCGAACGTCACGTCACGTGCAATACAATGACGTCGAGAATATAGATATCTGACAGACGATTAAGTGATAAAGATATAATTAGTGTGAGATGAGCGGAAGAAGCAGACAGAAAGAAAATAGCGAAAGAGAAGAAAGTTGGCGTAAAGTTAAGTACCGTAGAAGTGATAGGCTTAACGTGTAATATGTTAAGAGTGAAACTAACAGTAGAAAAAAAGATCAGAAAAATAATTTTATTCCATTAAAGCATGGTTCTAAAGTAATTGAATCAGCCTGAGTGCACTTTGACAAAGGGAACAAAGGATCTTCAAAAGAAAGAAAACCAAACAATTACGGTAACTCGTGCCACAATTGTAAGTGAATCACACAGAGAATACTACTACTAGTGCGATAGAAATAGAGAAAATATTTCGGCTTGTCAACTGAAATTCTAAAGTAATTGAATAGGCCTAAGTGGATATTTGAAAAGAAGGAGAGTTATATATACGATATATAGTATTTATGATATGCCCATAATATCTATTGTATTGAAGAATTTGTTGTACATACGTTAACTTGTTGAGTTGTTCTGAATATATATTATTTTAAAAACAAGTGAAGTGCGTGCTGTTTTAACTTTTAAGTGTTTATTCATCGCCGAATTTATCGCTAACAAGTCGCAGACACCCACCGTGGTCTAGAAGAATCCTAAGCCCAACAACAACATAATATATATTTATACTATTAAGAAATGTAACTAAAAGCCTTTCAATTAGCAAAATGGAAAGTTATATATACATATTATTTTAAATTCTGACACATAGCATAGCAGTTGGAAAATCAAGGTGCCAAAACCATCTCTGAACAAAATGATGGTTAAAAACTGTTTTAAATTTTGATACGAGACAGCTAGGTACTGATGAATCAGAATAAGATAAAGCACTGAAAACTTTAAGAATGAAACCTCTTCAAATATTGTTTCTAATTGTGAGCATTTTATCTTGCATGTAGTTGAATTAACTTAATTTTAAAGCAATACAAGCATATGAAGTTTGATGGAAAACAACCTCATGTTTCTTGATTTTGTGTTACACTTCAGAAATCCAAGGGACCGACGACAAAATGGAGCTTTCAATTTCACATTTCTAAAGTTGAATAACCTTTCTGACAAATTCAGTAAAGATTTAATTTCCAAAACTATAAAAAGACAAAAACTTTTTTTCAGCTGATTTCTTAAAGGATTTTTACTTGAAAATCACCAGAAAATTATTCTTATAAAGCTACTCATTAAAAAAGTTTGAGAATCAGCTGCAATGGTGAAATTTATATGATTCAATTTTAGTAGAAAAATGAAGAAAAATAAGACAAAGATATTTGATTACCTGCACTGTGCCACAAACTTTTATTCCAAGAATGGATTTTACACTACACAGAGGATAATGTATGGGTAGAGTACAAGCAGTTCATTTACTGGTTAAATAACAGACAAAACCTAGTAAAAATTGGCTCATGGTACCCATACATGTACAAACTAGTAACT